AAGATGACAAGAACCTATAATAATTGGTGTAAAACAATCACTAGGTAGTAGCTCTCCCGTTTAGCCCTGTCAAAGCTAGGTTTTGACCCTTCCTAATATGTCCTCATGGACTATCTTTGCCTCTACATTCTTAAGCATTTCTTGGTACTTGTTATGGAGTCTAACTTCTACTTTAGAGTTTGATATCAATTCAAATTTTACTATGAGCCTCTTATATTTTGTCTTTAAATATTCATCGTCAAACCTCGAGATTTACTTTTATGTATTTGAAATTATATGTGATGTTGTCATTTAGCAATCATCATTGTTCGACACTTGGCTATTTTCTTTTGACACTTACATAAGTCATTATATTGATCATATAACATCATTCCCTTTAAGAATATGTGTATAAAATTATGATTATAGGAGCCTTTTTGGTCTTTCAAATGTTGAGTGTTGTTCACAAATATTTTTGGTATTCATGTATTCTTTTGAATATTGCAAATATTTAATACGTATGTTTAGACACTTCAAATTTTTAGCTCTCTTTTAACATTTTCCTACTAGTTAGAAATGTTTCTAAGTACTTTAGGCATTTAAGGGTGTTTCTCAATCTTCTGATTATTTAGATATACTCTTGGATCATATGGTATCCAAATATATTTTTGAATATTTTAAATAGACAAATATTTTTAGAGAATTCTAAATCATAATATTTTAAATTAACAAATGTATTTGAAGATATTCTAAGTATCTAAATGTATTATAATATATTTCAAGGATTCAAATGCACTTACGAGTATTTGGCTAAACAGGTGTATTCTAGCATGTTTTATGTACAATGGTGCATTTTTCTAAGTGTCCTTATGCATTCCAACACATTTAGCATATGCTATGTAATTATAATTACATTTCACCATTATATTAAAAAATATATAACAAATATAATAATTTGATAAACACTTACATAATACATTTTGGGTCTGAAATGATTGCATTACAAGTTAATTACCTAACATTTTCCCTCCCATCAAAAAGAAACATATGTTAAGCAAGCTTGTAAGTTGAAAACTCTAATTCATGGTCAGAAATATCAACTAGAAGATTCATCAAGTAGTAATAATAATAATAATAATAATAAATTAAATTAGTTATTAAAATTTGATACTTATTACAATTTAATTCATAATATTTTTTTTAATTACAATTTAATTTCTAACATTTTTTTTACTTGTGTTAAGTTCTGTTTCTTTATATTTCTTAGTAAGAAAATTAAAATAACTAAAATCATATTTAAATACTTTAAAAACAACTCAAAATGAATTATTAGCAAACTTAGTTAAATTAATAAATAAAAAATAATATTAACCCTATTTGCCATCACTATTAGTTTATTAATTTAATTAAAATTAATTTTAACTGACTTTTAAAATATTTAAATATGATATAATTATTTTAATTTTTTTTTGTTAGAAAATAAAATAAAATTAAACATTTAAAATAAATAAAAATATCAGAATCAAATTATATAAAAAAAAAAAACATCATAATCAAAACTATTCTGGAGATTAATTTAATAATTTGTCATAATAATAATAATTAATATATCATAGAGGAACGAATATATTAATCGCCTTTATCTGATTGTGATTTACAATTAAAAACGAATGGAAAGAAATAAAAAAATAAAATACATATATCGATGGCAGCAAAAATAGAAGCATGTTTACTTAGCGTTCTGATTCTGAATCCAGTGTGGTAACAAGAATAAATAATATAAAAATAAAAAAAGGAAGAATTTGTGGTCTGTATTATACGAACAGTACTCTTAAGAGAGGTGATAGCTTGAGTTCTAACTAGTAACCAGATTTACCAGGCACTTGTTTTGTAAGTTCTTAGCTTTCCTTTCACTTGAGGAAAATCTTCCAGATATCCCTATCGGCTATTTCCTTCACTAAGTGCACTCCCAATATGCCTTCTTCATCCACCAAACTTCTCAATTGACGAGCTCCGTTGTTGAAACCAGCATAATTTTTCTTTGTTGCCAGGTATACCATTCCATATCGAGGTCTCAAACACTGCATATCCCATCAAGAGAAAAGTGACGGTTAGATCTCCCAGCAAGGAA